ACTTACTACGCTTATTGACTTCTTCGTTGCAACCTCCGCCATTATTGCGCAAGTTGTACTCCACCCTCGCGCTAATTCACCCCCAGGACACCTGCGATCAAAGTAAAACAAAAAAAAAATCAAATCATTACGTTCGCCAAATTTATCTTTTTGTTTAACTTCTTTTATATATATATATATAAATTATATAAAAAATATAAATAATTTTATATATATATATATATAAATTAATTAATCGCACCGTTTTCGATTTACGATGCATTACAGTTATAAAAAAAAAAAAAAAAAAAAAGTAAATATACTATGGGGTATATTTATTTGGTTTCATACGGAATGCTACTGTCCTTTGACAGTTCAACTGCAAAATATTCACCAAAAATAATTAAACAAATATATATATATATATATATATATATATTTGCAAAAAGAAAAACAGAGATTTTTTTAGCGGCATCTTTTGCAGATGAGTACTGTAGCTAAATATTTTTATGGAACGTAAAAAAAAAAAAAATATTTGAAACGCATAGTTGAAAACTTGTTACAAAATTTCACGTTACGTTACGTTATGTTCATGTTCATGTTCATGTTCATGTTCAAAACCGTGCCAAAAATTTATCACGTACGTCATCATTTTATTAGATTAAATGCCGTCAGATATTGTACGACTATTGTTACAATACTTTTTCAAAAACCTTTTCGAATTTTATTTTATTAATATACGCAATAATCTCTTACAAAGTGACACAATTTGTTGAATTTCTATAACTCATTGTACTCGTGTATGTACTCATTGCATTCGCATTGATACTTTGTCAGGCTCGAAATATCGATTTCCAATTAAAAAAAAAAAAAAATAAAAAAAAATAAAAAAAGAAAGAAAATAAAAAAAAAAATGTTTTACATTCCAACTTCTATATTCCGACAACAGCGTCCCACTGCGAAATAACTGCGAGATGCATATCACATTTTCCATCACGTCAAAATCTGGTAACTTTTTTCTTACTTTTTTTTTTTTTTTTTTTTTTTTTTTTGAAACATTCTTTCACAAAAAGGAAATATAGAAGCGGAGTATATTTGATCGTATCCTATTTGAAATGAAACATCCTGTACTTTATGTTGATACTACGTAAAGTTTTCTAGATCGGGTTTATCTATCACAATCAAAATTCATTAATCATGTACAAGAAATTCCAATTAATTAAAATATAACAAATTGGTTTCTGATTATTCAGTTTTTATATATACAACTAATTCGATATAATTAATTTCAAGTATTAATAAATAGAAAGAAAAAAAGAAAATTAGAAAGATGACGATGATGATTATTATTATATTATTGTATTATTATTTATAGATGATTCTAACAGTATGATACTTTTGTAAAATTTATTTTCGAAATAACATAATAATAATAATAATAATAATAATAATAATAATAATAATTTGAAGATCGCATTAACCTAATAATATCCTTACAAAATAAAATATGCAATAAAAAGAAAAAACATATATATATATAAATTAATTAATATACAAAAAAATATATATATATAATGTTTATTATACATATATATAAATTAAATTAAAATATAATATACATACAAAAAAAAAATACATTTAATCATTAAGTAATTTTGAATGAAAGAAGGTAAAAAAAAAAAGAAAAAAGATGTCGTCATGTAATCAATAATAGATCTTTTTAATGCCTTTACATTCATTCAAATTTATCGAGGTGAGCGCTCTCTCTATCTCTCTCTCTCTCTCTCTTTCTCTCTTTCTTCTAGAAAGACCACGAAATAATTTTCTCGTAATATTCAAAGGAGATAAACGGAAATATAGACAACTTTTCTAGAACTCGAGAAGAGCGGACGAACGGACGAACGAACGATCTAAGAGAACCTGAGGCCAGTCAGCGTTGTTGGCCGGCAAGCCAAATATCCTATTATTAGATATTCCCTACGTCCGCGTCGTTATGCTTTAACGACGACACCACCACCACTATCACCATCACCACCACTATCACCATCACCACCATTACCATCACCATCACTATCACCATTACAAGTAAGTATATTTTCAAATTGAAATCTGAAACTCTAGAATAGGTTATACCCTCTCCTAGTTTTCATTCTCCTACAATGTGTGTGTGTGTGTGTGTGTGTGTGTGTGTGTGTGTGAGTACATACGAATAAAGAATATTTCATTTTACAAATAAATGTAATGTCCAAATATCTTATTCTGCTCGTACCTATTGTTATTATAAACGAATTTTAAAAACAAAAATTGTTAGGTTATGTTTCGTTTTTTCTTTTTTTTTTTGTGTACATTTTGTTAAACTTTCAAGACGCCATAATTCGACGAAATATCGACGAAAATGTACACCGTAGATACACGTTCGATTCCTATTGATATTCTCTACAATTTTTGTTATATATATATATATGTATATATATATATATATACAAAGTATCTCACTTTACAAACGGATATATGATCAAATATATTCGTACTTATTGATTTTATAAATGAATTTTACAAATAAAAAAGACTTGTTAGGTTATGGTCCCTTCTTTTTTTTTTTTTTTTTTTTTTTTTTTTTTCTTTATGTGTATACTTTGTCGAACTTTGTAGACAGCATAATTCGACGAAATGTCGACGAAAACGTACACTGTAAATACTCGTTAAATTTCTATTGATATTCTTTACGAATTTCATTTGCCCTTAAAATATTGATTTTCATTTGACAAAAAAAAAAAAAAAAAAAAAAAAAAAAAAAAAAAAAAAAAAAAAAAGAAAAAAGAAAAAAAAACAATTAAAATCGAAAAGATTTTCGTCGGCTATATCTGTTTAAAAACGTGACACCCTGTATATACTTTGTCCAATTATCACGTTCGCAACGTATCGTCCTTCATTGTTAAAACGTTTAATGTCGAATGGGCCAGCCGGTGGGGCCCCAAATAGCCTTGTGTTCGTTCAAATCGTTGCGGTTACTTTGTATAAAATAAAACGCAACGATCATGAAACGCATCATAATAATATAATAATATCGTCGGTCGGTGCATAAATATAATGGAATTTTCATTATACATAGACAAAATGGCGGGGACCCAAACGAAAAATATTCTCATGTTCTTCGTGCCAAGCAATAATTTATTTGTCTTTTTTTTTTTTTTTCTTTTTATTTATTTATTTATTTTCTTTCCCTTCATATACATATATTCATGTATAAAAATATTTTTTAATGCATTAATATGATCGAACGAAGGACGAGATTTGAATTTCGGAGATTTTTCGAGAGATCATCCGCCATTTTTCTTCGAGAAGTTTCTATAATATATGCGCATGATATATACCTCTCTCTCTCTCTCTCTCTCTCTCTCTCTCTCTCTCTCTCTCTCTCTCTCTCTCTCTCTCTCTCTCTCTCTCTCTCTCTCCTTCTCTCTCTCTTTCTCTCTTCTTTTTCTATCTTTATAGGAAACGAAGGGAATCAAAAATAGGAAAAAGAGAGAGAGAGAGAGAGAGACGAGAGGCTTGATAAATTCCAGCATAGAGCCCTCGCGAGTGTAACAGTTTATAAACATTCGGGAGACCAACTCGATTCCAGCGTAAACTAACACACAACACACACACAAAACCATAGAGAAAGAGAGAGAGAGAGAGAGAGAGAGAGAGAGAGAGAGAGAGTAGCTTCAAAATTAGAAAGTGGTCCGAACGTGGATGGAATCGCGCATGCCCAGCATTAAACCCAGTAGCGTTTTCTAAGGGCGCATGCGTCCCTTTCATTCTCCATCCTTTTCTCCTCTCTATTATATTCTCTCCACCTCACAAAAAAAAAAAAAAATGAAAAAAAAAAAAAAAATAACTATATCTACGTACCCACGTATTTATGACAAAAAAGAAAAAAAAAATAAAGAAGTAAAAAGATAAAAGAAAATAAATAAAAAAAAAAAAAAAAAAAAGTTATCCTTAAAAAAAAAAGATCCTTAAATACGCACTATAACGTTTTGAGAACTCTTCTCCGATCCAACATACATACACGTATCTAAATAAAAGTAATCTAAATAAAATCATCAATCACAGATTGTATCTACATAAACGTAATCTAAATAAAATCATTTATACACGTATATTAACTGTTTCATTTAACTCTATTGTCCTTTTCATCATTTCATCCTTTCATCATCCTACCTTTCTTTTTTTTTTTTTAACACACGTCTCTCTCTCTCTTTCTCTCTCTCTCTCTCTCTCTCTCTCTCTTTCCGGATACAGGCATATATACATACACCCTGTTCAAGTTATATCTCCATCTCTTTCTCCGACGTTACTCCGAGGTCGTTCTTCGGGTTCACGACCGACTCTGTGCTAAGTCTCTCTCTCTCTCTCTCTCTCTCTCTCTCTCTCTCTCTCTCTCTCTTTCTCTCTCTCTCTCTCTCTCTCTCTTACTCACTCAACACTCAGTCGAAAATTCTCTTTCTCTTTCTCACTTCTATACGACTCATTCTATCTCTTTCTCGCTTCTTTACGGCTTCTCTCCTCTCACTCTCTCTTACTCTCACTTAAGACTCGGTCGTAACTCTCTCTCTCTCTCTCTCTCTCTCTCTCTCTCTCTCTCTCTCTTTCTCCCTTTCTTAGGTTTTCTCTGCTCTTACTCTAACTCGTTCAAATCTCCCCCTTTATTTTTAGAATGACACACTACCGCGATTAAATGATGCGCGAGCATCGCACCATGGCATACTGTGTCGCCGGAAAAGCCACTCTGACCAAAGGCGGCATGGTCGAATGAAACGAAACGAAACGAAACGAAACGAAACGAAACGAAACGAACGTAGGAACGTAGGAACGAACGAAAGCGATAGTCCACTTTTGTTTTCTCACCGTCGAATAGCTTACTCTACTGTCAGACGTCTATCGTAAGGTACCCTTCTCCTTCTCCTTCTCTCACTCTCTCTTTCTCTCCCTGTCTCTCTCTTTATCTTTATCTCTGTCTTTCTCTCTCTCTC